CCCCCCCACCCACAAGTCTAATCAAGCTCTAACATGAACATCCTTCTCTGGGCTTGGCCTGCTCGTCCTTCAACTTGATGGGGTCGGGGAACTGGCTGCACAGCTCCACGTCCGTCTCCTGGGCCAGCGCGTTCTTGGCCACCGTCTGGAAGGCCTGTTCCACGTTGATGGCCTCCTTGGCGGACGTCTCGAAGTACGGGATGTCGCCCTTGCTGTGGCACCAGCCCTGGGATCGTCTCGCAGACACCTGTGGCGAGAGTATTTTGTTTTAGTAAGTGTTTTAAGGCACTTGCAACAAGATTTGCAGAGAATTTATATATAAATTAAGCGACGTCTCGAAGTATGGGATGTCGCCCTTGCTGTGGCACCAGCTCTGGGATCGTCTCGCAGACACCTGTGGCGAGAGAGTTTATAAATACAGTCAAACCTGCCCTGACGGCCACTTGTACAAACAGCCATTTTCCATTTCCCCCCCTTGCGTTTTTTCTATATAATTTAACTGTGTAAAACGGGCACCTGTCCAACGCGGCCACCATATTTTAACACTCAACCCCTATCACACTAAGCAATAACACCTGTCTTAGACGGCCACCTTAGTGACTCCATTACGTTTTGTCAAAAATTGTGCATTGGCTCCTGGCGTTGTAGGCGAGCCGTCATAATTCTATCACCTGTCCTTGTTAGGAAGTCCCTCCAACCGATCATGTTGCATAGGACCCTCCCACTGTTGACCAATAGCTACCAATTTTCAGCTGCTGATGAGGTAAGCGTGTGATCCCTCATAACCCATAAGCCCCGCCCAGAACTCATACACAAATCGTAAGTGAGATGAGTGGTAAGTGGTCACTATTTACCCAGTCTGTAACAAAGTAACAATGGACGTCAACATGAACTTGTGACAGAAGCGTAGCTTGTTCTCCGAGTGGTGGCGACCCATGTGTTTGTTTTAACATAGCACTCTATCTTCTTCGTCTGAAACATTTAATTCTATTGTCACCCGTGTGCATAATCAGCAACAAAATAAAAATTACAAAACAAAATACAAACCAACAACAACAAAGTGGCTACTTTCGATTGGGACCTCAGATGGGAATGGTTTGTTTTCTTCATCTTGATCAGTCCCGCCTAAGACGGCCACCTGTCTTATACGGCCACTTTTCTCCTTGACAATGAGTGGCCGTCTTACACAGGTTCGACTGTAGATTGAAAAATCAAGTCTCTAAGAAAAGGCAGATAAAGGCACCGAGAGAAACTTTTCTCGCAAATTTTTCAAAGGGGAAATCCAGTCTCGAAATACGGAATGTCGCCCTCTGCTGTGGCCCAGACTTTTTTGCATTAGTAAGAGTTTTACTGCACTTGCAACACAATAAAGTCATATAAGTGCCGTGCCGAAGATTAGAAGATACACTCACCGCTCTGTTCTCCAGGTCAATTTTGTTGCCGATGACGACGAAGGGGAAGTTCTCGGGGTCCCTCGGCGAGGCCTGGATGAGGAACTCGTCGCGCCAGCTGTCCAGCGAGCGGAACGTGTTGGGCATGGTCACGTCAAACACCAGCACGCAGCAGTCTGCACCGCGGTAGAACGCCACGCCCAGAGACTGGAACCTCTCCTGGCCCGCAGTATCCCAAATCTGAACGCCAGACCGAAGGGGGGAGGAGGAAAAAATATCAAGTTAAAAAAACAAAAAAACTACAAAATCTCCCAAAAAGCAGAATTTAAAAAGTTTTTGTAAGAGCTTTAAAGCACTTGCAACACAAAGTCATAAGTAATGGGGGGGGGGGGGGGGGGGGGGGGTATAAAGTTTATCTCCCCCCCCCCCCCCCAGCAGAATTTTAAAGAAGTTCAGGTAAGAGTTTTGCAGTACTTGCAACACAATACGGTTATATATAAGACATAATAAGTGCTGAAGATTAGACGTGTTACAAGAGAGTAACAATACACAAAACAGAAGTTAGATAAAGACGACAGACGTTTGATAGGAAAGAAGAAGCAAACCACACCAGAGCACCCGCCAGAAAAAGAATCAAATCCCCAAAATCATTTTTTCCCCTTTTATTTGAGCAACCCCTCTATTCCCCCCTCCCCCCATCAAAGCCAAAGCTATAATGAGTTACTTCTGGCTATCCACAAATCGATATACTGGCCAAAAATCGACACAAGGGTGAAATTTGTAGATTTTCTGTTGATACCATATTCTTTAAATATAACATTCTATTATTTTCATACTTCAAAATCTTTTTTAAAAACTCCGACTATGAACATGGAGTATCCATTTCCATCAGGCTTGAATCCGAGAAGTAACTCATTTTGTCAGTGGCGGGGATCAAGAGTAAGCACCAAACAAACTTTACGGTAAGACTAATACACGCGTCATTTCCTACAACTACAACAAAACATCATCATCACCACCATAAATAATCATCCTCATGATCACCATTACCGTCACCATCGCCACCACCATCATCATCATCTGCATTATAATCATCATTACCGACTTAACAATTCCCCTGTCCCTTGTTTCATTTCTCTAGAAAACATAACAATTTGCACCATGTCACTACATTCTTTTTACGTAACCAACAAATACGGGCACAAAAATCAGGACACAGGACCCAAAAAACCCCCAAAACACTCATTTTGTGACCACGCTTCACAAGTAAGGTTGTCCTGCAGATTTCTGTTAGGCCAAACTTCACACTGTATTTGACAACGAAAAACTCGCGACCTCAGTGCTTTCTTGTCGTATTTCAATTTTTACTAACAATGAAAACAGTTCATATCAAAGTGTGAGCCCTAAAGAAGAAGTCACATTTCCACTGTTTAAAAAAAAAAAGAGATACGACAAGAAAGCACTGAGGTCGCGGACTGATGACCCACCTGCATTTAGTTTTAGTAGAGGTTTTACGGCGCTCGCAACTGCATAAGGTCAAATGAGAGCCAGAAGATTAGAGGTGTTACAAGAGAGTAACAAACCTAAAAAAGAAGAACGGGGAGATATAGATGTTTGATAGGAAAGAAGGAGCCAACCACACCAGAGCACCCACCAGATTTCCGTTAGGGCAAACTCCACTGTATTTGACAACAATGAACAAGTGATGACTCACCTGCATGGTGACTAATCTGTCGTCCACCATCACTTCCTTGGTGAGGAAGTCCGCCCCGATGGTGGCCTTGTACTGGTTGCTGAACTTCTTGGCTACATACTGGTTCATTAACGAGGTCTTGCCAACACTGGGGGGGGGGAAGAGAGAGAGCAAAGTTTGTTGGGTTGTTTTGTAAGTTTTACGGCACTTGCAACACAAAAAAAAAAGGTAATTAGTGCAGAACATTAGAGGTATCACTATTACAGAGTAACATTCAAAGAGTTGTTCTTTATGGGGAGCATATAAAAAGCAGACGGAGAGATGAGAATGATAGATGATTGATAGGAAAGAAGGAGAAAACCCACATCAGTCTTAGACTCAGTAAGAGTTTAACAGCACTTGCAACACAATAAGGTCATATAAGTGCCGAAGATTAGAGGTGTTGCAAGAGAGTAACAAACACAAAAAAGGAGGAGAGATAAGGACGATAGATGTTTGATAGAAAAGAAGGAGCAAACCACACCAGAGCACCCGCCAACCACACACACAAGGAAAATTTGTTGGGTTGTTGTTGTTTTTTTAGGAAGAGTTTTACAGCACTTGCTACACAAAATAGGTCATAAGGGCTGAACATTAGAGTTAGAGGTATTTCTATTACAGAGTAACATTCAAAGAGTTGTTATTGATGGGGAACATACAAAAGAAATTTGTTTTAGTAAGCGTTTTACGGCACTTGCAACACAATAAGGTCATACAAGTGCTGAAGATTAGAGGTGTTACTAGAGAGTAACAAACACAAAAAAGAAGGAGGGGAGATAAAGACGATAGATGTTTGATAGGAAAGAAGAGGCAAACCACATCAGAGCACCCGCCAACCACCCACAGGAAAGGAGAGGAACAAAATGTACATGGGCAGGGTCTCACAATTATACATCCCCACCCTCACTTCCCTCCTATCATGACAAGTTATATTTTAGTAGAGGTTTTACAGCCCTCACAACTACAAAAGGTTACATGAGCGCCGGAAGATTAGAGGTGTTACAAGAGAGTAACAAACATAAAAACGAAGAAGGGGAGATAAGGACGATAGATGTTTGATAGGAAAGAAGAAGCAAAGCACACCAGAGCACCTGCCGAACACCCACTAGGTTCATATTGTGATAAAAAAGAAAAAGCAACCCCCCCCCCCCCCCCCCCGAAAAAACAACAACCAAACAACAACAAAACAACAAGACCAAAACAAATACCAGCGCAAAAGAAAACTGCTACTTACCCACTGTCTCCCAATATAATAACTTTCAAAAGCACCTTCTTCCTGGATGCCATGTTGCAAGTTTCTCAATCAGTTCACCACTCCTGAGGAGGGAAAAGCAAACAATAACCATTATAACAAACAACAATGTGATTATTCTGGACAAACTCTGATGTCCCGACGTATTTTACCAAACAATAAATAACTTTGTTCATTGTTGGGGAAAATGGGCCACGTATCCCTTTTGTGGATACTTATCTAAGTGTCATTGATAGATTACACCGGCCAACAAAATCAAACTTGACTTGAGCCTTGATACATGATAGTAATTCCAGGTCGTTCAAACCCCCCCAAAAATGATACAGGCACCAGTTTTGCAATATCATGTCAAGCCTTTTCTCTGCAGCATAAACAGTTTTCGCGGTAGGCAATTCCATGAGCCCTAATCTAAATCTAATGATAAATGCCAACCTTGTTCAAACAACAACAACGAACAAAAAAAATAATTTTTAATTAAAAATTTTTCAAAAAGAAGAAAGAAAAAAGAAAAAAAAGTGAGATATCAAAGCATTAAGTTACGTTTTCACCACGTCCATCCTCAATTTCACAATGGTAATGGGTACAACAATAAAAAGTAGTACATCGTGTGCCTAACTCTGAAGCAATATTATGTCTAAAGTCATAGCAGCAACTTTCTTTTGTGGGATAGTCTGAAGTGCATTGTGACTGGAACGTCTCTCTGAATGCTCCAACAGCATTCTGCCATTTTTTTCCCTTTTTAAGCTGAAGCTCTCTTAAAAAGCCCTTTCACTTTCCTTCATGCAATAGTTTAATTATTTTTGTTTAAATCTCGTTTGTTTTAGTACAGGTTTTTACGGAGCTCCCAACTATATAAGGTCATATGAGCGCCAGAAGATTCGAGGTGTAACAAGAGAGTAACAAACATTAAAAAAGAAGAAGTGAAGGGGAGATGAGGACGATAGATGTTTGATAGGAAAGAAGAAGCAAACCACACCAGAGCACCTACCAACAACCCAATCTCTGTAGTTAACAAAATATTAAAGCATATTTTAGGTTATGAACTGTGCCAAACCCAGAAAAGGAGGAGAGATAAGGACAATAGATTGCTGTCTGCTGGAAAAAAAAAAAGCTCCAAGCAAATATGTCCCACACATGAGAGCCAGACGACCGTGACTGTGAACTAGATAATTTTTCTCTTTAACCATCCACAAACAATTCTGTCTCCTTGCTTCTTCTTTAGTTTTAGTAAAAGTTTTACGGCACTTGCAACACAATAAGGTCATATAAGTGCCGAAGATTAAAGGTGTTACAAGAGAGTAACAAACATAAAAAAAGGAGGAGAGATAAAGACGATACTTGTTTGATGGGAAAGAAGGAGCAAACCACACCAGAGCACCCGCCAACCACCCACTTTCTTCTCCTCAGTGACCCACACGACCACAAAGTCATTTTAAACCATGCCTCACGACAAGAGCAGAACACAATCGGAGAGCAGACTTTCAGACCAAAGTCTCATCGACAACACACACAGTCAAAATTGTCTCAGACAGCCTCCCACAGACCAGGAAAAAAGTGGCCATTATAAACAGTGTCATTATAATAATTAATATTGTAAAACTAAAAAAAAAAAAGTACAGGGGTAGAGGGTTTTGCTGCGCTCGCAACAGCATAAAAGGTCATAGGAGCGCCAGAAGATTAGAGGTGTTACAAGAGAGTAACAAACATAAAAAAGAAGAAGTGGAGAGGAAGACGATAGATGTTTGATAGGAGAAAAGAAGCAAACCACACCAGAGCACCCGCCAACCACCCATCCAAAGAAAATGGAAAGAGAAAGTTATGTACAGGTGACTGTTAGGCCAGGTTTGACTGTACTCAGTCTACTTAGACAGGCCACCCTTCAGTCCTTCAAAACCCACAAAATGCCCTTGCACTAAGGCAAGATATAATAGATATATGACCCTTTCAGGCATAAATAACACCAAGACAGCCGAGATACACGATAAACCCACAACTTTTATCAGATGGTCCACTTTCCCAACAGCAGCGGAAAATTTCAACTTCACACCCAGCTACTCTTTCCCACAAACAATAACACCCCCCCCCCCACACCTGTCCCTGAAGTGCACAAAAACAACACTGATTTCTTGCACTGTTTAGTTTTAGTAAGAGTTTTATGGCACTTTCAACACAATAAATAAGGTCATGTAAGTGCCAAAGAATAGAGGCATTACAAGAGAGTAACATACACAAAAAAGGAGAAGAGATCAGGACGATAGATGTTTGGTAGGAAAGAAGGAGTAAACCACACCAGAGCAGAGCACCCACCAACCACCCACTCTTGCACTGTAACATAGGATAAATAATATATCATGGTAATACAACAGTATCAAGAAAGATCGTAGAGTGACTTAGTTCACAGTAAAGGACTTGAACTTTTGTTTTCAAGAAATCCATTGGGATTTTGTGAAAATTTACAAAGTTGCATTAGCAAATGAAGACAGTTACTAGTCACAAATAATATGGGGTTAAACAACAACAACAAAAAAACACAACCAAACACTGAGAATAACTTTTCCAAGTGAAAATAAAATAGAAATAATGAGGTGTGAGTGTAGGGGTGGGAAGGAAAACAACATTTGTGTTTTGACAACAAAAATCCCCCACAACACCATGAAACTAAGCTGACATACCACACAGCACAGAGTAGAGCTGACACACCACTATACTGAGCTGACACACCACTATACTGAGCTGACACACCACTATACTGAGCTGACACACCACTATACTGAGCTGACACACCACTATACTGAGCTGACACACCACTATAGTGAGCTGACACACCACTATACTGAGCTGAGCGGCAAATGGGACACGCCTGTGTACCCAACCTGACACAATGTGCAACAATCCCCTAGAGGTCACATGCAGCTTGTTTGCGTAATAATAGATCAGAAGCGTGCTTAGCTAGTGTGACTGAAAGCACGGTCTCACGTGAGCACCGATCTGTCTGTCTGACAGACAGCTTTAACCTATCTGTGACAGGGTCGGGGGTAGCCCTGCACACACAAGTAACCCTTTCCATTTACACGCTCAGAGGTTCAACAATCTCCACTATCAGTCACGTGCCTTCCAACCTTTGTGTGACAACACAGATAATCGGGGTTTATCTGCCATTTATGTCATTAGCGGCCACTGAATAAGCATCTCCACGACTTGGGTTATCTTGCCACATGGGCATGTATCAGCTTAGCCGGCTTCGGCCACCCCGCAAGTTATCTTTAGCACAAAGTAACACGTGACGACGTCGTTTTCAGAAACAACCATCATGTGCTAGCTGAACAATGGGAAAAGAACGCGCATTACAGCTGGGTATTTTTGTCTACACATGCCTGGTCGGGTACTTCCCAGGGACCCCCCCAAACACAAATGTGAAAATGCCGTTTTCAGCAATGTCAGCTAAAGAAACTATATGTATAGGTTCAAAATAGCAATGAAGTCACCCCCCAACAACTGAAAGATGAAAAGCTGCCTCATCACCCATGACAAGATTAACGAGATAATTATCCCATTAATCATTAAAACATAGATCTACCCTTCACAGAACTAGAGTGTTGCTTTTATACATAAAAAGAACAAGACTTTTCTCCCCTTTTGAAAGTAGGACAAACTTTATCAAGCACATTTCATAACATTCAAGTTTTTCTTTTTAAAAATTCAAGATCTCTTTCAAGCACATAAAAGCCAAACAAACAACAAGGTTTCTGCACAGACTACACACTGTCCCAATGCTGCAGTCCACGAGGCCTCATATTTCTTTAATGGTCAAAACATCTTTTTACTATTCTGACTTAACTATTTTTGACTAAAAATCATTTTGATCTACAGTCCTCTATAATATTGATCAAACATGGATATAACCAAGTTCCAAGTTTCTACTTACACTTTACACACACACGTTGTAGGGTGTTGTGGTACTGGTTAAATGCCCCCCCCTGCCAACAAAGTGAAAGTTGTTGGACATCAGAGACAACTCGCTACCTTAGAACTACAAAGTTCTATCCGACATGTTTGGCCGTTTTGAGTTACTAAGACCATGAGGTCAGAAACTAAAATGTTCTGTCTGCTCTGTCAAAATCGTAAGATTATTCGGAGTCATTATCAAGATATTCAAAGAATTACATTCGAAAAAGCTTGACATGAAATGAAACTCAAAATTTTAAACGTCAAATTTCTCAAAACTAAGCACTGGGGCAGATAAAACTTTGTAATTCTGAGGTGGCGAACTGACACTGAGAAATCGACCCAAGAATCTACACAACAGCATTGAAGTGTGTGGGAAAAGAAAGCTCGTCCTTCTAACCATATTATATATATATATAATACAACAGAGCCGGGAGACCATCAATTTAATTGAGACCGATGTCCCTCATGACACAAAGCAGGCCTCATCACAAGGGTGCTCAGGGTCAAATCGGATGAGATGAGATATATATATGTCCTTTCGTGTAGTATAGTTAATGTATGGTTGTGTGGAAGTTCTTTATGTGGTTGAACTGGTTTTCCTGGTTTTCCATGAAATATTTTTCCTTGTGTGAATGATTATGTGATTGGTGTAAAGTGCTCAGAGCTTATACTAGTATGGGATGGAGCACTATATAAATGCAATTATGATTATTATTAAAATTAACCATCAACACTACACAGAACTGAGCTGTGTATGGAATAGACAGTTTTGAAAACTATTAACCACCAACAGTCTTCACCAAACTAAAATGTGTGCGTGTGCGTGTGTGTAAGACAGCTTTCACTACTTCTGACCACCAACCAAACTGAACTTATTCTACACACTGCATTACTACTATGACTGTCACACTTGACTGGTTATGGTTAATATATCCCCCCCCCAACCGCTCCCCACCCACGCATACACTACACACACACAAAATTATTCATGCCATTCTGACTGCTGTTGTGCAGAATGTGACAATTAGCCTCAGGACAAACACAGGGTCCAACCTGTAGGCTGTAGGTCATTATACATGCATAACTGAATTGTCACGGTGATCAGTGATTCTTCAGGTACAAACATTTCCATATATATACTGAAAAGGTGGGAGTTCCCTGAAAGGAGAATATCATGCTTTCTGTGTGTATAATCATAATATAATGTCACTACATGTGTGTACAATACAATGTCAGCACAGTGGAAATTGTCCATGACGGCCAGGAGAAAAGTGTGTCGTAACCATAACCAGGTTGACAAGTAACAGTGCCATCATAACGTAAAATCAAATGCTAGGGGGAAATGGGAAAGTGTTAAAAAAAACAACAACCCAAAAATACCCCCCCCCCCCCCACCTTACAAAGACGAACAAATTACCTCGAAACTTTCGGATCTTCCTTTAGGTGTGCCCAGCGTACACACACCTTCAGACAACAGTAAGTTTGCAATTCTTGAAACACTCTACGATATCGAGTGCTCACAATCCTTGAGGGTTAGAGAGACACAAAAATCACACCTGCAAAAAAAAAGAACAAGAGAAAACCACACAAAAAGTTAAAAAAAGAGCCTTGGCTTGCTGATCAAAGCACACAGCTGAACTATCACCCCCTCACCCCCCCCAACCACCACCCCAGAAGCAAGTATAATTAGATCAACACTCTATCATTTCAGGAGATCTGATCTGCATATATAATAATTCATGAGTCATGTCAAAGCTATCCCTAGATCACACATACATACAGAGGATTCTGTTTGATAGCTTGTTCCTTTTAGTTTGTCTGTGTAAAAAATAGTTCTAGCTCATTTCGTAATCTGTCTGTATGCCAAAATTAAATTTACATAATGGCACTCCCGAAGGTCAGCAACCAATTTAAAAAAATTTTTGATCCAGTAACAAAAAAGTTTATTTGGGCCCAATAATGAATACTGTACTGTATTTGCGGGTGCATGCACAGGATCACTACACGGTAAATGATTTACATAAATGACCTAGCCCACTAATTGCTCATTTTGAGACAGCAACACCACCCTGACCCAACATATATTCCAGTCATTTGGACATTACAACCTGAGCCTAAAAAAATACTCGGTCATCTGTCCGACCGTTCTTCATAGAGACATGGTAGTGTGGTCGGGATGAAAATAGGTCAACCTTTTATGTATTAGGTGTATACTGTAAATTCCTTTTTTTTTTTTACCCACTTTGGGCTGACATCAAAGAAAATATGTCAGAACCTTAGTTTGTAGTAACCTTCATTTTCGGGCTTTTAGATTCTGTGGGGCCATCCAACTTTGACAACTTTCATGCAAAGACCTAAATAAATTAATTAAACACAGCACTTTGTTTTTATCATATTACAATTTTAGACACAGACAGATGAAAGCTACGGTTGAAGTAAGATCCTTACGACACTTGCAACACAAATTTGCCGTGTTGCCAAAGACAAAAGGTGTTACTGGAGAGTAACACAAAGAAAAGAAGGTGGGAAGATACTGATTAGATCTTTGATACTAGGAAAGAAGGAACACCCACCGCCCTGCCCAGAATCCTCAGCCACTATGACTATGTGTCACAACACCTACTGCTATGGAGTAGAAGCTCTGGTCAAACCTCAGCACTGACAATGTTTTTAGTTGAGGTTTTACGGCGCTCGCAATCGCATAAGGTCATATGAGCGCCAGAATATTAGAGGTGACATTACAAGAGAATAACAAACATAAAAAAGAAGAAGGGGAGATAAGGACAATAGATGTTTCATATAAAAAAAAGAAGTAAACACAGTTAAAGTTCTCCATCTCCCCCTTCAGTGTAATAGCATGATCTTCTCCCACATAGCAAGTTGCATGTAAACAAAATGACAGTTAAGAGACACAATTTATGTAGAGTTGTAAATACTACCAAAAAAACCCACAAATGCTTCGACTAACTGCACGTTCGGTAAAAATAATCCAATCAATGTAACGGGTGCAGGGGGGGTGGTGGTGGTGGGGTGCAAAAACAAAGCGGCATCCCTTCCCCAATCTTTATAAATTTCACAAAGACAAACCATGGAAAGAGTGTTGAACTTCCCAACAGCCATTCAACAACACAAATAGGCCTCGGTATACGAGCTGCCATGAGTCACTAAGGAAAGGTTTAAATATTTTCTCAACTGAATCATTTCCTGTTTACAATCTTGGCTAGCAAAGCAATGGCGGCCCATTTGATCAAATTCCTCTGCACGACTCAGACTAAGTAGCCTATCCTTCTCATTCTTTTTACTTCCTGAGAGTGGAACTAAATATAACTGCCGATACTGGTAGCTTCCAAACTTCTAAACTGACCACAGGGCCATTCCATGAAAAGTGAAACTGTAATATGACACACAGAACAGGAGGATGATAACTAGCTGGAAAATATTGTTTAAAAAAAAAGTATTAGTAGAGGTTTTTATAGCGCTCGCAACTGCATAAGGTAATGTGAGCGCCAAAAGAGTAGAGGTGTTACAAGACAGTAACAAACATAAAAAAGAAGGAGGGGGAGATAAGGACGATACGTGTTTGATAGGAAAGAAGTAAGCAAACCCCACCACAGCACCCGCCAACCACTCACTCTTAAACAGTGATCTAAACATGGTCATTCTATTTGTTAAATCTGTTTTTTTGTAAGGGGTAACTTTCTCTACATTTTAACAAATAAATTACTTTGAACTAAATATATACACAATGAATATGTTATTCAAAAGTAATTTGTCAGTGAGTATGGTAGTGTCATGGAATGGCCCTATATATATATATCATATACACATGGCTTGTTCAAAAGTCATTGACCTATTCTTATCATAGCCAAATTTATCACCGAGAGAGAAACAAGCTGTGGGTATGGCAAGATTGAACTAAAGCGTCCCCGCTGCATCTTTTACAGGCAAGGTTGACAGAAAAGTGTTTTATAACAATCAATATCAAATATCAGACAAAATCCACACAGCCAAAACTTCGACTTTTGCACTCCTTCACTTGTAGGGGGAAAAAAAAAATGAAAACAAAATAAAGCTGTGTCCCTTTCCATCCTCTCTATTGCCTAAATAGTGGGAGCATTGGCACACCCCCCCCCCCCCCCTGATATCTTGCACATGTGTGTGTGTGTGTGCACTGCCCGCGTGCGTGTATTGACAAATGGGTCGACACATCTGTAATACCAGTAAACTCATAAAACAAAGTAAAAAAAAAAGAGAGGGACATTGAACAAAGAACAAGGACAGTATAATCTTTAACCTCTCTGCCATTATGAAAAGTACCTGGTATCAATTTTAGAAAAATACAAAGATGGATAATGCTGCCAAACATCCAGGTTTAGTTTAGTTTTAGTCTTTAGTTTTACAGCACTTGTAACACAACTAGGTCATATTTATTGAAGTGCCAAGGATCAGACGTATGACTACAGAGTAACAAATATAACAAACAAGAAAAGATATGCATGACACACGTTTGATAGGAAAGAAGGAAGAAACCAGGTCACCAAAGTATCCATCGACCCAACCACCTACTCTTGCTCAGTACTGAAGTTGAAGAAAGAGAAAGGAACAGGCTGATGCTGATGAGTCCAGGGACTAAAAGATTGCCTTTACATTATAGATCACACCAACCACCTCTCTAGAGCTTCCTGATCCTCACATCTCACATTCCTCTATAAACAACCAAACACTCGTGTATACATAATTCACACACACACCATTAATTGCCCAAAGCTGCATGCAACACCACACCGTGTAACTTTGACTACACCCACCAACCACCCTCACATGACATGATTCAAAGAAGTTCTCGTGCCTTACACACCCACTGCAGGCAATGTGTGCAATGATGCGTCTCAATACGAGCAGTGTGTCAACTATGCGTGTGTGTGTCCCATCTGGTGTGGGGAGCGGGTGTAGCCTGGTGGGACCATGTAACCTGTTACTCTCAATGATGATGGGCGTGTCTGTTTTCCATCATACGCGTATGGCGAGTTTTTGAATTTTACACAACTGTCCTGGAAAATTTGAGTGTATCAAGATGAGCTGTTATATACACATCTGTTCAAAAATACTATACTATGTTGTCGTTACAAAGAAGCGGTTCAGTTAGAGCATGGCAAATTGTTCCAACTCTCCATGAATGAATTTAAACGTTTACATCTTCGAGTTTTCCGTGCTCAACTGTGCAATATTATATCATTCACACAACCAAAACCAAAAGTTTAGGGTATATTGATACAATAAGCCCTACTTGGAAACATGACTGCCGGATGGAAACATTACAAAATTGCCAAGCATATGTATAACTTAAATAAGAGGTGCATTTTCATCTTTCTAATGAAAAGGAAAGTTTAAATGAAAAGGGGAAACAATTTTTTTTTTAAAGGGAAAAATGGCTAAAAAAATACACCCCTGCTTCAAAAGACAGATCTAGATCTCTACAGAACTGACTAACTGGAACTACCCAATCTGATTCACACAGACACATTTGACAACAATACTCCCAAAGAAAAGGAATTATGCTGAACTCAACAATTTTGGTAATCACATACACTCTAGCCATTGACTAATTTACCCTAAAACAGTTGAGCACAGATAAATTTTAAAAACTTTTCTTGTTCATTTTCACCTTCTACACAAATCTCTGCTTTGTTTACTTTATTTCCGTCACAAATTAAGCAACTAGATATTAAAATAAGCCTTAATGTGCAGTAATATTTCCAGGGTTTCGATTTCCAACCAGGATTGCGTGCTCCCCTGCACGTCCCTATTTGGGAATGGCCGAGTCTTCGGACTCACTACTTAGTCAGCATCAATGTCAATGTCTGAGGCAGACTACTTAAAGAAACCAATTTGGACTTTTGTTAATTTAATATTACCTGACTGGAGTCAGAGTAACGAATAATAATATGACCCAAATCTAGAAGCAAAACTTAGAATAAAGAAACTTAGTAAGACACCGACACCATGCTTATCCAAAGCTCCGACAGTGGGTTGAAGAAAAAGTATAGAGACCATTAACAAAAAGTCTCTTTTGCAATACCATAGATCTAGATCTAATATAGGCCCTCTCACTTTAAATAATTTTTTTAACTCACAACTTACGACGGTTGGGCTAATGTTATAGGCTAACACTAACAACACAAATATAGGGCTTACTGTTAAAAGGTTCAGGAGTATAGTTAGGCCGGACTTTCGTCTAATCTGCACTATCAATATTATAGGCTAATAACTAGATGTAAATCTAGATATAGGTCTTTTTAATACTAGATCTAATTACTAATAGTAATTGTAATATTTAATTATCTAGGCTAACCTTTCGGTAAATTTTTACTTATGCACCCACACATAGATGCATTGATTTGAGGGCTAAACTGCCATACAATTTTTTTATGTAGAACACACGAATGGCCACTAAAACCCTTGCTAATCAATTGTTTTCAAGTAAATATCAATCCTAATTGTCAAACCATCAAATCCATTTTGAAATGCAGGGGCCCTGAAACCCCCCATATTGTTA